ATGAAAACTCACCATCTTCTAGCAGACGCTTTAGACCTGCCGCCTCCCTCACAGAGCGTTCGTCCCAAACCGGAGAGCTCTGAATGCCATTGAAATACTCAATGAGCTCAAACCTGATTTCGGACACGCCCTGCACCACGGGTGATTGGAAGTTCCAACGTGTTGGTGCACAAGCTGGGAGACGGCGGCTACATATCTGGCGAAGGAGGTCAGAGCGCTTCGGCGAAACGGAAAAAAATGAAGAAAACCCGAAACATTTAAGATCTCTAAAACCAAATTTACACCAACGTGAGTCACGGGCGGTAGCAAAAAGTAGGCAATAAAAACAAAAAAGTGCATTTTTGTCCTCGCTGTAACACAACCATTCGTGTTTTTTATACCAAGTTTCTGCGCAGAATGTACGCCGACGCTTTCCTCCGTCATGGGATTGTTCCAGTTAACAATTTTTTGGTTGATAAGGCCCAGGACGTTGTACCTCTAATTTTTGTTCCAGCGGCAGCTGCGAAAACGGAGTGCGAAGTAGTGCATCAACCTTATTCATTATGAGGTCTACGGCTAAGAAATGCGAAGCCGGAAAGAAGTGAGGAGCTCAAAAGGAATGTGGAAAATAGAAAGCAAATGGACTGAAGGTCTCTAACTGATTCAAATAGCGAAACAAGCGACAAAAACGAAGGCGAGGAAACTATCAACTCTTCAAGCAACCATGAACGAGAAGGAATGCGTGAATATGTCAACACGTTGTTGTAAGAAACGTCGGCATTGTGTCGTCATAATTTCGGGGCTAGCCCCGATGATTTAGTAAAAGAAACAGAAAACAAACGAGACAAACGCGGCGAGTGGAAGATAAAAGAGGGAATACGATATACAATGAGCAACCGGGCAAAATCGACGTCGCCCCGTCGACGTTCGGCGAAGGCTTTGCGAGCAAAAAATGAACCATGTCGGGAGAATATGGCTAGTGTAGACAGTCTGTGCAACCGATATTGAGGTATTTTTCGAATATTTTTTATTATACCGAAAAAACAACCGGGGCAACGCCTATTGGCCCTATTGACGCGCCGCCACTGCGTTCAACATATATTTCACAAATAGATGGCTTTTCTCGGGTATGAATTGTGGTCGTTAAAAATATTGGATTACACAAAACGTTTGGCCCAAGACTTACAAGAATATGGAGTTTCCCAAGTGTATGTTTGTGAGTGCCTGTTCAAATTATTAAAGCTATCAAACTTTCCATATATTCCAATAGAAAAAAAATTATTCAGTTTGAGTTTGGGTGTGTTTTTCAACGTTGTTGCTAATAACTTTCCACATATGCTGGCTTGTCTTCTGTATGAATATTCATATGTATATTTAAAGTACTGGAACATGTAAAACACATTTGCCACGTGATATACCAAAATATGACTTTTCCCCAGCGTGGGTTTGTATAGGTGTTTCGTTGATGCACCTATTATGTCATACGCTCGGTCTATTCAGTAGTTTCTTATCTGAAGATGAATTTATCATGTATTGCAAAGGTAATTTCAGGATGTTCAATTACTGGACGAGTGTTGACACCATTTACTAGATCACTGTAGATAGAAACTAAATGCATTCGGCATGTTTCTGTGAGAGTGAATTATCACATTACAAATTCCATGGATGGTCAACTAATTCAACGAGTATGTGATGGAAACTTCATTCCTATTGGTCGCCGGGCGTCGGACAGAAAATTACATGACCTTGACCATACTTTAGCAATTCCACACTCTTGTGAAAAATATGAGAGATCACACAATGCACCATAGATGTGGGAAATATTTCGTAGAGTCGGGCGTGTATGAACATTTTGGTGAATTAGCATACTTTAAATATAATTTGAAGAGGCATATGATGGTCTACAGAGGAAAAAATCATAGTTTTGTAAAATTTATGAAAATTGCAATGCATTTTTGTTATAGCTCGTCCAACATAGTTCACATCAATTTTATGACATCATATATCTCTATTCAAACTACTGAAACGCTCAGAACACAAGATTAATAACAAGAGTGTGGATTTCTACAGTATGAACCTCTTTTTTCGACATCCTGGCAGCTACAAAATAATTTATACAAATTCCACACATTTATGGCTGTTCACTCTAATCCTTCGAAATATTGGATTTCACAGAATGTTTACCACAAGATTTACAAGAATGTAAGCGAGTGATTGTGTGTGTCTTTTCAAACTTCTTGCCGTTGAGAAACAATTCCTACAAATTTCGTAAGATTATAGCGTTTCATCAGTTTGAATTCCCGTATGTATTTTCAAACTACTTGTGTGTTCTAAGTGTCCACACACAATTTACTTAATCACTGTAAATAAAAAAACATAAGAATTCGACATTTTGGATTTGATTTGGAAGTGTTCTGTAATGGTAAAATATTGAATATTAATTATCACCAGATCAAATTATTTCAGTAGAATATATGACATTGCATATGTCAATCCAAATTATTACACTTGCCACATGAATAACAAATGTATGGCTTTTCTCCAGTGTGAGTTTTCACATGTTTTTAAACTTTCCACATATTTCACAATTCATGACTTTTTCCAGATTGAATTATAAGCATTTGCCACAATATCCACAAATATATGGCTTTTTGCAGTGTCAGTTTGTGCATGCCTTTTCAAAGTTTTTGCAACTAAGAAACACTTTCCACATATTCTAAAATAATATAGATTTCCATCAGTTTACTCTCGAATATGGATTTTGAAATTACATGCTGCTGCAAATCTTTTTCCATATATGTTGCTATGAAATAGCTTCTCTCCTGTATGTCTATTCAATTCAGTAACATGAATATGTCTATGCAAATTACTGAAACATTTGCCATATAGGATAGGATAGGATTCACATATTTATCCCGGGGGAGAGGAAAGCCGATAAGACGGCTTATCCATATGGCGAACCACGGCCTCTCGTCCGGTTACCATTCCAAGTCGGGTATGGGATTAGTTTTTACTGTATTGTTTGTTTTCGGAAGCATGGACTTGGTGGTGGAGGAAGCCGTAACCGACCAGCGGTTACGTGAACCACCCAACAACGGCGAGGAGTCCAGCAATCCCCTCGCACATAACCATCCCTGCATGGGATTCGAACCTGCGAACCCACGCAGAGTAATTAGAGGTGCGGTGGCGAGCGTATTCCTAACGCTTAGCCCGTTGAGCCACACCGCCGCGCCATATGATTTACAAGAATGTGTTTTTGCTAATGCACGGGTTAGTTCATATACTTGCTCTGTTTAGTAGTGTCTGTTCTGAGAATAAATTTGTAATATATCGTAACAATTTAATATTGTGAGTATCCCAAAATATGACTGAGTGTTCTAACGTTTAATAAATCACGGTAAATAAAATAGTATAAGATTAGGCATCTGGGATTCATTTTGACTTTTCTCTAGCATGAATTCTGGACATGTTCTTATAGTGTGCGTTTGTCCAATGGTCAAGGCTCCTCTGATTAATTCTCATATTTCCAAAATCATTTACTGGATCACTGTGAATAGAAATAGCATACAATTTGGCATTTTGAATTCGATACAAGTATTTTGTTGTAGTCGATTTTTCTGAATTGCCTAAAACAAAAGACATAGAACGTATCTTAATTATCACTCTTCCTCATTATAAATATGGAGTCTCGGCTGGTGAACATTATTCATACAATCTCAAAATGATAGATATATCTCACCATTCAATGGCCAACTAATTCAACGTGTAATTCAAAACTTTATTCCTATAGGTATCTAATCGTTGATTTATCGGTGCATGGAGCGATGGATGCTGTATACATACAGGAGTATCCAGAATTCACAGAGGCATCACACACCGTATCGTAATAGACTCTTGTGAAATATGTGAAAATAGCGTTGCAACATCTGGTAACTTTAAACACAATAGGAGAGGTTATACTGGCGAAGAACCATACTAATGTGAAAAGACTCCAAACATTTTGAAAACATGAGAATTTACACTGGGTGTAAATGTTACTCTCTCAAGAGATATGAAAATGATTATGTAGATTCGTGTTCTAAAATAGAAATTATATATGGATATATAGTATCCATGAACAATATGGATCAGCGTTAACAAGTATATTCAACTTCATTTTATCTACCAAACACTCTCCACACGTTTCACAAATATATAACTTTTTTCTTGTATGAATTTTGATTGTATTTGAATTGCATAAAACAGTTGCCACAAGATTATTTAATTTGTAGCAGCATATGCCCGGTCCAGACTGGTGAAATATGTGGAAATAGTTTTGTGACATGGAAACTTTGTAAAAGCAGATAAGATCCACACTGACAAAAACCATACTCTTGTCTCATCTTCAATATTTCTACAGCGTTACATCTACACGTCCCACAAAAGCATCGAAATCCTACTTTCAATCACCGAAAACTTTGTACAGACTTCATTTTCTTGGTTTTCTGAGCCAACAACTTTTTTTGCATATTTTCTATGTTTATCCATCCGTGGTTTTTGTCCCTCAACATGGACGCCCTCCTTAACTTCTCAACTTTTTGGGTTGGCAAGTACTTTGACTTCGATTACCACCAATAAAAAGTCTGACTCAAAGGAACTTCAAAATCATACTCTTGCCCTATTTCCGACTAGAAATACAAAGGGATGGCCAAAACCGAATGCATTATGAAATAATAAATGTATTCTGAAATGGCTCTGTTTCACAGGAGAAATTCTTCAATACAATTGTAAATTCATATACTTCGAACATTGATTTAATAAGTATTCTCCATTTTATTCTGTGAGAATTTGACTAATTTTGTTGTGCGTTAAAATAATGCATGCTGTAGCGTCCTAAAATTCACTAAATCGAATACAACCAATCACAAATGTATGCGACCATTCATTTCATTTTGGACATTCCTGAAAACCTAGCTCCGAAGTCAGTCTTCAACATCAAAAACACTCTTAAGCTCAGTAGCTCGGAAAATAAAACTGCACTGTATTGTGAAGTTTATTCGTCTCAGTGGGTTAAATGCATTGAGGTAGCATAGTTATGAAAAAATTCAAATCTGATAAAATAATTGCATATTTAAACATATATATACAGTGCATAGGGGAATATACATCTTAAAATTAAAATAAATTTGCTCAATAGTACATAAAAGCACAGCCTATCATTTATTAAGTGAATTTGCTCAAAGAAGGTTATATACGTCAACTCCAAGGGAGACTCATCTCGGAACAGAACAAAGTTACGAACATTCACTCATAAGTAACGAAGACTCATCTCCTAACAAAGTTACGGGCACTCACTAGTAAAAGATACTCATCTCTGAGCGAAGTTACTGGCACTCATTCAGAAGTAAAAAAGACTGATCTCTGGGCAAAGTTACGGGCACTCACTCGTAACGTAAAGAAAACTCATCTCATCTCTGAGCAAATGTGAGGCACTCACTCAGAAGTAAAAAATATTTAATAACACTTAGCATCCAAGTCAACGGTTTCTCGTGATCAAAGCCAGGGTCATTGACAATCGTTTGACTTGATTTGAAAGACGTGTAAACGAAGTTGACCATGATCGCTAAGACATGAATATTTGTTTTTTCGGAAAGTTTAGTATAGCATAACTGTGAATGATACTTCATATTTGACCATGAAAATAGAAGATTTTATTAATTCTATACAAGTGTGCTCAAAGCAAGGTGCTGATAAAAGAGTTAAAAACGACTTCTGTTGCACAAAGAGCAATATGTTAAACCAGGGGTTCTCAAAACTTTTGACGTTATGGGGTGAAGAGTTGGAATATTATTTACGAAGCCCACAAATTTGACACAATATTAAAAAAAGAATATTGAAATGTGGCAACAAGGCAGTAATTGAAATATGGCAATATATATTTTCTGATAGTACTGCGATATATTGTTTCAAGTTACACATGAACCGCTATCTACAGACATATTTTTGACAGGGACTCTTTTATCAGTGCTATTCCTGCTTTTAGTTGAGAGTTTGGGACATTGATTTGAGCAAACTTGCAACTCTTCTATCAGAACTCTTCCTACTTTGGTTGAGTGATTCGACTCTATTTCGAGCATATTTGTGACTTGCTAATTCTGATCATTGGCATCTTGAGTAATAAATACACAGTTAAGAATGAGAATATAAACTACAATCAATTAATAAAGTTATGTTGGAATACTTTTAATTATAGAAATAAACTTAAAAAATTTCTAAAAACACAGCTTGAAGTTTGGGAAGAGTTGAATGAACGATTATAATGCTTGGCGTTAACAGTAGATGTCCTTTGTAACTTCACAGGAAAATAAGGTACTCCCGAAGTATGTGAACCAAAATGGCGGTCACCGGATCGTAGTATGTGTACCAGGTTAGGGTTAGGCCATTATTTTATTCGAATTTTCCTTATTTTAGTTCTATTACAAATTCAGTTCATTTGCAAATAACAAGCATAACAGCTGATGTTCAACAAACAGTCAGTGTACCAAGTGGCACAATTATATTCAGGTGCAAATAATACATGATCTATATTTTAGGCGATGATTCGTTATTTTCATTGAAATATCCAACGAAAATTTATAGCCATGAAAACCATAGTCATAATTGATATAGGCACAAGTGGGCCGGATAAAACACTTCGGTTAGCCGTAACTGGCTCGTGTTGCCGCAGTTTGCCCACCCCTATTCTAAGTGATTTAGAAGAAATCAATGCTGGGAGTTTACCTAAATTCCAGGAATGCAAGTTCAATTTAGCTCTAATTGTCTAATTAAAGGTTAATAATGAAAAAATTAAATTATTAATCAGTTTTGTTCCTGATAACCTTTGATCTTTGCTACTCGACCAAAGCAATTACATTCATTGCCTAATTAAACAGCAAAAAAAGAAAAATTAAATATCGATCAATTCAAATCTATTTTTACTTCCTTGTTCCTGATCACCTTTGACCTTTGCTACTTCAACCATGAAATCATGCACTAACTGCCTTATCTCAGGATGCTTAGCAGTATAGTGCTCCACTCTGTAATCCTCGTGCATTCGAATGAAGCGAATGTAAGGAGATTTTGTCGTGGGGTCAGAGGTCGTCTTCTAGTACAAAGTCTCACCGAGATGAATGTCGATTCTGTAAGGAATGGAATAATTTGGTTTGAAAATTGGATTTTTTTATTTCAAAAGAAAGCGAATCCGAATCGATTAGGAAGCGAAGCTAATAGGGCCTACCACCTAGACTTTGCATTAATGTTGCATCAACACCATGTAAGTATTGCTTTTACAGGGCGCTCTAGAAATGTGTAAAAGGGCAACCAGTTTTCTTGTAATCAAAGCCAGAGTCATTGGAATTGTTTGACTTGATTTGAGAGACGTGTAACGAAGTTGACCATGCTAGCTTAGACATGAATAAGCGTGTCTTTGGGAAGCGCTCCAGAAGTATGTGTACCAAAATGGAGGGAACTAATTTTGTTCATCTACTTGACATCAAGTTGTATAAAGGGACTGAAACCTACGGGCAGAGGATATATTTACTTGGCTAACACAAACAGTCCCCGAACACGTAATAGAACTAACGTAAGAAAAACAGAATGAAATTGTGCCCTAACCTGGTACACATACTACGGGAGTACCCTTTTACAGACCCTGGCTTGCTTCAAGCATGGGAAATCCTGAAGAGATATCAATAGAGAGTGGAGGGTAGGATTTACATATTTATCCCGGGGGAGAGAAAAGCCGCTAGGACGGCGTAATCATATAGCGAACCGCGGCCTCTCGTCCGATTACCAGTCCTTGTCAGTTATGGGATTGTTTAGCCAGTTATTTGTTTTCCAATGCATGGACTGACATTTTATTATACTTTTGGGGACAAGAAAATTGGGGCGACCACTCCTCCCCCTTCCCCGACTTTCGATTTTTTTTTAAAGTTGTGCAATCATTATGCAACTTGCTGCAATATATCTGCTCAAGAATAGGTTGAAAGAAAAGAAAAATCCATTTAAAATGCGTATATTATACATACAAGTAATCCTACATACTTCATAATTGGGCAGACTGCACCACGCATTGGTCAAATACGCGGTTTACTTATGATGTCATAAAAGCCGAAAAAGGAGCTAATCGGTTATTTGTTTTGTTTTAATCAATCTGCCAATTAGGGTATTATAGCGCTTGTTATGCTGAGGAGTCAAAATAAACTTATATTAAAAACCATACTGTAAGACCGTGCCGGTAAATATTGTAAATGATGATGATGAATTTACGAGACATAACTTGATGATAGAGGTTACATGAACCATCTTACGACAGTAAACAGTTCCGCAAGCCATATTCTCAAAAATAACATGTTTTGAACCTGTGAACTCTTGAAGTGCGCCACATAAGCGTGTTAATTACAGTTTATATATGGTATACCTCTGCTTTGCTGATATTAGCCATATGATTAAGCAGTCTTATTGGCTTTTCTCGCCCCTGAGACAAATATGACAAAACATAATCCAACCTGCTTGACCGTCCACTTATACACGCTAATTGCATCCTCCACGACTCTTGTTGGACTTGGCTGACCGGTAGAGTCCGCAAACCCACTGTAGTCAAAAGCTATGATGTGGAATCCTTGGTGAAAATGGAAGAGATTTTATTTGTGTGAATGAGCAGATTGATACAACAAGAGAGCAACGCTCAAATATATGGACACGTGGACCAGAGCGAAGCAGTCCTTACCTTTGACGTTAGAATTTTCAGTCAGCCGTCACGCTTGGCGGATTAAAAAAACGTGTTCCCATAATTAATAAAAAGTAATACAGCGCAATTTCGGATGAAATATTAGATCTCATAAGAACCATAGAAAATTTGGGAATTAATAAAAGTAATAGTCTTCTGGCAAAAAAACGAATCTTTAACCACTGAAAATTTCAAAGCAATTGGTCCAGTATTCGAAGAGAAAAGCGATTTCCTAATGATAATGATTGTTGATATTGTAATATTTGTACTATTTCGTTTTGTCTATTTCTGGCAACACTGCCTGTTAACTTCTTTCATTGTTATTGTTTTACGCTTCATTGATTTTGTATCTGCTGCTTCTTGCTTCTGATGATAGCAGCATGGGTGCTGTGCAAGCTAATATATATCTATTCTGATCGTGTAATATAAGGTTGTATTATATGATAATAGTCGAATTAACAATGATGACGAAAAACAACAACATAATATTGAAACAATCGTTATGTCCACTGACATGTCTAGGCCAGAGCTACTCAACTGGCAGACCGCGGTCCGAATCCGGACCTTTCGATGGATTCAAACCGCACCTAATTCTTTATTTTGGATCATTAGCCCCACTTTTGAAGTTTTCTTTTATAGTTTATAGTTTTGAATATATGTGAAAATACCTATAACATCATAACCAGACCCAAATAATTTTAAAAAAATAGTTGAGTAGCCCTGGACTAGGCCACTATTCGGCAACCCTTGGCATTAAAATAGCCATATGGCATCGTCTACACCTGACATGGGCAAACTACGCAAGCCAAATCTGGCCCGTTGGGTTATTCAATTGAGCCTGTCTCATGCTGCCACAACTGAAATAAAACCAAATTTTGATGTTCTAGCAAAAAATAGGAATTTGTTGAGATTGGGATTAAATGTAGTTTTGGCACGAGGCTTATTGATTTTCACTTTTGTAACACTGTATATATTGTTCATAAAATGTAACATTTACATCACACTTACATGGCCCATCAGTGTAGATGGGCAAAATTTGGGCCCCAGGCCCAAAAAACTTGCCCACCCCTGGTCTATGCCAAACTCATGGCATACCTACTCGAGCCGCAACATGTACTCTAATGTCAGATACTATTAGAACTATCGAAAATCCACTTATGATGTCATATTCTAGTTCTAACTAATTCACCAACGCTGTCTTACAATAAGTTAGGGTAGACCAGCGATCAGCGATTTTTGTCGTAAACTGAATTATTGCATCATAAGTGGTTTTCCGGTAGTTTTAATAGCCACTGACTTAAGAGTAGATGTTGCGGCTCCGAGTACATTTGAGTTCGACCATATTATTCATACCTGGTTTCTGCAGCTCTGAATATAAATCTCTTCGATGCTTGAAACCACGATGAAACGAGTTGCCATGGCAATAAATGATGATTTTCTCAGCGTCTTGTAATGACCCTGTTTGACCTCTGGAGTATCGTGCTGAGTGACTGGCGGAATATGCCAAACGCCTAAAGTACTTCCACTCGAAGACTTCACATAGCAGTTCTTGCTCTCTTTAAGATTGTAGGCCTGAAGTAAAAGAAGAGAATTTAGAAATAGGAATTGATCACTATAATAAGGATATCTGGTTGAAGCAAGGTTTAGTGCAATTACTCATAAGTGAAGGGACATATTACTGATCGGAGTTATTAAGTGCACTCACTCAGAAGTAAAAGAGACTCGTTTCTGAGCAAAGTTACGGGCACTCACTCAGAAGCAAAGGAGACTTATCTCTGAGAAAAGTTACACGCACGCACTCAGAAGTAAAAGAGACTCGTCTCTGAGCAATGTTACAGGCACTCATAAGTACAGAAAACTCATCTCTGAGCAATGTTACAGGTACTCATAAATAAAAGAGACTCATCTCTGAGCTAAGTTACAGATATAGTCACTCAGAAATGAAGAAGACTTATCTCTGAGCAAAGTTATGGGTACTCACTCGAAAGTAAAGGAGACTCTTCTCGCAGAGTTACTCGCACACACTCAGATAAGGAGACTCATCTCTGAGCAAAGTTATGGGCACTCATTCAGAAGCACTCACTCATACAAACGTCTTGTAGTAGGTCTTACTTTGTCTGGTTAGTTTAGCTTCAGTAACCATACAGGTGGGCAGACTCTGTTGAGAAATAATCTTTCAACGACGATTTTTGGATAAATCTTGAAAATCAGCGGAATTGTGACGTAAACCAAGAATCCATAGATCACAAAATAACATGAGGAACTGAATATTCCACTCATGCATTCGTAAAAAATTGTCGTCATTTTTAAATGAAGAGAGAATTCATTCAAACGCAAGTATGATGGGGTCCAAGCAATATCCAAGGGAAAGAAATATTGTAAAATATTGGCTGATGCAAATCTTGGAGAAGTTCAAGTCAGCAAAAGAAACCAAATAAGAATTGCACGATACCAAAGGTTGTTTCTGCTACGGTATCACTGTATCAGCATCTGTGTGGTACGTTACCACACTTGTTATTAAAATATAGACAGAGTAGTCTACTTTAACCTGTTAACATTATCTGATGATTGAATATGGAACCTAGTAGTGCACTGTTCGCTACCGGTACCATACTGCCATACCAAACTACATGAGACTCTTTCCTCTTCCCCGGGATAAGATAGGATTTACATATTTATCCCGGGGGAGAAGAACGCCGATGAGACGGCTTAACTATATGGCGAACCATGGCCTCTCGTCCAGTTACGGTACCGGTATGTCAGTATGTATTTATTTGTTATTCGGAAGCACGGACTTAAATAAATATGTATCCTATTATTTGACAAACTGTGCGAGTTACGTACCAATAAATGTCAAACGATCATTATAGTCAAGATAACACACATTTATCTCAACTGAAATCAACTTCGCTTTTGAGAAACCGTACCGGTATATTGCAGATTAAAAATCTCAGAAAATCGGTCTTTTTTTTTTTTTTTTTTATCATTAGATTTTCATAAAATAAAATAATATTGAATTAATCAATATTAGAAGATAAATAATGCATTCATAAAAAGTAATATTTCACACTGTTTGAAATTGTAATCTAATAGTATGGTATGAGTAAACAGAAGATTGGAGAAATTTCACATTTTATCTATATACTATACAATCAATTACTAAATAAAATTATATTGAAATAAACAATATCAGTAATACAGTCATGAAAAGTATCACAATGTTTGCATTCGCAATCTAATTATGTTAATAGAAAACTGAGAAAATCTGACATTATATGTATATACCATACAGGGGCAATCATTTAGCAAAAAAAAAATCTCACATTTTAGGTATATACCATATAAGGGCAATCATATAGCAAATAGAATAATATTGAAATAACAATTTTTAATTCAGCAATACAGTTATAAAAGGTAATTTCTCACAATGTTTGCAATTGTAGTCTAATAATATTATAAGAAAACAGCAACATATCACATTTTATGTATTTAAGGAAAGAAAAACAATAATATGTAATTATATAGCAAAAAGTCACTTGATCGACTATTATATAAATAAATGCCACTTTCTTTTGTGTATCAGGATTTTACTATTTTTCATTGCTATATATTTCTCGTTGTCACGAATATCACGAATAAATTTATAAAAAACATCAAAAATTGGTTTTCGTTTCTGGATCCGGCATCTATATATAAAGAAGCGGGCAGCCAATAGTACACAATTGATGAATTGTATTTCAGGAATGTCATCAAAGCCCATAAAACATTCTTTGATGGAAAGATCAAAATTCAAGTTATCTGTCTTAAAAACAATCCACTGGTCTATCTCGGACCAAAATTTACTAGTTATCTCACAATAATAAAATAAATGCAAAAGGGTTTCGATATGTAATTTACAAAATTCACACAAGTTTGATTCTACTATCCCAAATCCATATAAAACATTATTCAGCGTTATAGCTTTATAAAACAGCTTCATTTGAAAAGATCTCAGCTTTGTCTCAATAGTTGATGAATATGAATTTATGAAATATTTATTCCACTGTACACTAGAAATATTGAAAGATTCTTGACAAAAGGACTTGTACATGTTTGGAGAGACAAACTGTTTCATTATTATTATTTTATAGGTATTTTTGCACGAATAATTTTCAGTGGTGGTTGAAAGAAATTCACTAAAATCAAAGTCACAAATTTCAACATATGATTGCACAATGTCATTCCGTTCCTCAGGAATACTACCTATGATTTTGTAATAGGTTTTATAATCATCAACATTATATTGCATGCTATATTCATCAAGTAACTCAAAATAAGTATAGAAAGTATTATGAGAAATTAAATGTCTCAATTCAGAAATGCCATGTTCTTTCCATGTTGAAATATAAAAAGGTTTTCTGCTATATTGCAACTTTTTATTGTACCAGATCGATTGATTAAGTATAGGCACATTCAAAACAATATTCTTATACTTATACCTATACCAGTATAACATCATGTTTCTAATAGTGATAAATGGAATATTTTTCATAAAATGGGAGTTCCAGAATAAATTCCCCTTTAACAAGGATGTGAAATCAAGATTCTTCAAATAATTAAGTTCTACAAGCTTCCATTTACAAACTTTGGTATCATCCAATAAAAACCCCACCCACTTAATTTTTTGAGCTATTATAAAACTATGGACATCAAGCATGTCAATGCCACCCAACATTTTTGGACCAGTTAGTATTTTTCTTTTGATTCGCTCCCACTTAGAATTCCATAAAAAATGATATAGTGCAGCGTTTAGTGATTTAATATATCTGTCTGGAATGATAACAGGTAAATAAGTAAAACTGTAGGTGAAAAGCGAAGCAATTAGTGTCTTAATTATACACACTTTACCTAGTAATGTAAGATTCCTCATTTTCCACACTTGGATAACATTTTTAGCTTTAATTATGATTTGAGGGAAGTTTACTTCAAATAATTTTGACAAGTCAGCAAGGATATTCACTCCAAGAAATTTTAATGAGTCAGTCACTTCAAGTCTAAAATTTGAAATGTAATCCATGTTTATAGGTTTTCCAAGTTGCATTATGTGTGATTTCTCCAGATTAGTTTTACATCCAGAAATATCACCGAAAACATTTAAAATATTAAACAGGTTTTTAGCACTGGTACTTGATCCATCTGTAAACACAGTTGTGTCATCAGCCGCCATTGCTATTTTGACAGTCGAATCGCCAATTCGTATTCCCTTGATTCCTTCATCTGCTCTGACCATAATTGCCAAAATTTCTATGCAGCTCAAAAAAAGGTATGGAGAAAGTGGATCCCCTTCTTTTAAGCCTCTTTGTAATATAAAGTTGTTGGATATGTAGTTGTTATTTATAACACAGGATGTGCTGTCTTTGTACATGATCTTGATCCAGGATATAAAATTTCGCTGAAAGCCAAATTTTTCAAGAACGTTCAATAAAAAGGGCCATTCAATACTATCGAACGCTTTACAAATGTCCAAATTAAAAATTGCACCAGGTATATTATGATGTGACGTATAATTTACCAAATCACATACCAATCTAATATTTTCTCCCATTTGCCTGCCTTTGAGAAATCCTCTTTGATCTTCATTGATGATAATATTCATTACTTTCTGCATTTGTGTAGTCAATAATTTACTTAAAATCTTATAGTCCACATTAAGCAATGTAATGGGTCTATAGTTTTTGATATAATTCCTTTCTTTATTCTTCTTCAATATTAAAGAAATCAATCCACTGCGTTGGCTATCACTAAGTGTTCCTGTAGACCAATAATAATTATAGGAGTTCAACAGAGAAACCTTGATTTCATCCCAGAACTTTTTGTAAAATTCACAAGGAATTCCGTCCATGCCCGGGCTTTTATTATCTTTCATCGAAAAGAGTGCTTTCTTACAATCGGCCATTGAAATCGAGCCGTCACATTTTTTAGATGTTTCATCTGCCATTTCTGGAATGTTTCAGTAATTTAAAACATTATCAATCTCGTTTTCCTGTGGCATATTTGAACAAAAAAAATGTTCATAGTAAGTACATATTTTGTTTAATATAGTCGATTGTTAGTCTTGTAATAGATGAATTTGACTTTCTCCTCTTTTCTAATCCAAAAAAATATTTGGAGTTCTTTTCACCATTTTCAGCCCAATTAGCCTTACTTCGTATGATGCATCCTCTAGTAATATCTTGATACAAATTGTCATATTCCTTTTGTTTTAGCAACAGATTGTTGTATGTCTGCTCAGAGTTATCTATTAAGAGTAGTGTCTGCAAATTATTCATGTCGTTTTCTATCTTAGTCATCAGTTTATTTCTTTGTCTTTTTTTTCTGCATGAGTAAGCAATAGTTTCTCCTCGAATTACGCATTTTAAGGTGTCCCAAAAAAGATGAGGATTGACAGGCTGATGAGAATGATCATATATGGTATTAGATATAACAGTTCTTATTGAATTAACAT